TTCACCAATCATTCAATCACCTTGCAGACTACACTGGTCAGAGCAATGGGACGATAGTGAGAGGTATCAAGCCCCGAGGTGCCTGGTTTGTAAAATTGTAGTACAAAGGCAGATTTCCATTGTTGAGCAGCCGGGCTGTGGCTCGTACGTTGGTTTGCGTGCAGCCAGCAGCAACAGCCTGGTTGATCAGGCTCTGATCCACCAGGAGGCCTGGTCACAGACCGGGCCACAGGGGCATTGACCCCCGGAACTCTCTCCAGGTAAACTCCAGGAACCCCTCACGTCAAATAAGACTGAAAAGATGCAAAAGGATTGCAAGGGCTGTAGAATGCAGATGTAGCATATGGATATGAATATCATCAAGCCCAGCTGCAGATGACTGGCAAGCGGAAAACGTGGACTCCAGCTCTAGGAGTGTGAAAGGTATGTTATACGGCTCCATTCCATTAGAAAAAATCCAAGAACAATTGCTCCTCAGTAGACTTAGATATGAGAAATGAAGTACAGAGGTGAAGCCCTTGGGAGACATGGACAAGATAGTTCCTGATTTCCTCGGCAACTTCAAGAGGCTCCGCAACACTAACACCAGCAACCCACAAAACGGGAGCAGGGTCCGGAGCGTACTTGCCACACAACTTCCGTACCTTTTTCCAAACTGAACACATAGGGAATATCGAGGTAATGGTAGACACAGTTGTGCCAACAAGTGCATTTAGAGTCATGTATGACATGGTAACCGACTGCCCTCGCCCGCTGAAAATCTGAAGACAATCCGAGGTCCAATTATGGCACACTCAGGAAATCACCAAGGCACCATGTCTGAGAATGCCTGCCTGAGGTTTGAGGAATAGAACATGACACTGAAGTCGAAGCTAAGGTCGAAATCTGGTGCACCAGCTCATCAATAGAGGACGAAGAAGGGTCTCCCACATAAAGCGGTAAGATTAGAGTATAAGTTCCAATTCACTCGACCAAATTGCCAACGGAGGCTACGAGGCAGTCGGGAATACGTAGAAGTAAGAAGAATAGGAGAGGGATCACTGTCGTGCAAATCTGGGAGAAGAGACCAAGCATAATCAAGCGCAATTGACGAGAAGCAGATAGAAAGTTCAATGCAAGAGAGAAACTTAGTGCAGGAGTCAAAATGAGTGGGAGCACCTGTATTTAAAACACGAAGAGGACGAGAAGTGAGGAAAGTTTTTAACTGATCACCACGAGTCACAGTGGGACCCTCCCCTGATGGCAAGCGTTAAAATCGCCTAACAAGATGAACAGCGGCAAAGAGGAGATCAAGAATGCAATATCAAGATAAAGAATGCACGGGAAGGGGAAAGATATAGAGAGCAAATAAATACGGGCTGCAGTATAATGCAGCAGAACGAACAAAGACCTGTTGATACAGTATACCAACGTGCACAAGAAGCACACTATCATTAAATAATTCATCAGGAAAAGGATAAGAAGAGTACAACAGCACACAGCCCAAAATGGGATGAATAACAACTGAACAAATTTTGGGTTCTTCCAACCCGACACATACTGGGAAAAACTGGGAGAGCAAGGCCTAGAGCTCTCCCCAATTACCCGAGGCCATGAATATTCCATTGTAAGCAAGTCATTATTCACACAGACAGGTATGCCAACAATAAGAAGCAATAAAACCTATGGAATATTAGGGTCAGTGAAGTCAATGTGTGGAGGCAATGGAAAGCGTTTAAGCAAGGAGGAATCAGAAGGCTGTGAAGGAAAAGATTGCTGAGAGGGTCATGAAAAATAAGGGGTAGGAGGAGGTGCACCAGTGTCCATCGAGGGTTTCGTCTCCGCAATATAGTTGGAGATAGCGTCAAGTGTCTCAGCAGATAAGGAAGATGCCAATAACATAACTTCAGAGACAGGCGAGTAGAGCAAGTACAGATCGGGGAGACTGGAGGAAACCCAAAAAGGTCAGAGGGGAGGGAAGTATGAACCTGGAGAGATGTGCTGGCAGGGACAGAAGAGTCCTGCAGTGGAACAGAAGAGGAGGAGGCTGAAAGGTAACTGGGGCATGTCTAGGATGGACAGAAGAGGGGACCACACAAGGGAGGAAAGGGGGGGGGGGGTGAACCACCACCTTCATGTGAAAGTTAGAAAGGGGGCGAGAACTAGGCACCAAGGCCAAAAAGGAAAATTGTTGGAGAATTGTAACCACTAGAGGAATGCGAAGAGACTTGGGCTTATGCGAGAGGTTCAACTTCGCAGGTATTAGGAGTGAAGATGATGTAGGCATGCGAGGCCTTGCAGACTGAGAAACTAGCGGGCAAGAAGTAGAGGTAGGAATAGGAAAGGAGGTGGGGGTTTCAGAGGGTAAAACCTCAAAAGAATTGGAGACGCACGACACTGGAGGAACTGGTAGGCTGGGGGACCGCCAAGGTTGGAGGTCTCCTAGCTACTCAAGAATAAGGGACACTAGGAAGATTCCTCTGAAGGCAGAGCCGAGAGAAAGCCATAGCATAAGTAAGGCCTTCACTCTCTTAAAGACAATGGATTTCTTGTTCATTACGATAGACTTGACATCAGCGGGAAAAAGAAGAATGAGGATTTTATTGCAATTCAGACAAGTGGGGGGAAACTGCAAGATGTATCGGAATGATCTGCAGTACTGCAGTCCAGGCACTCCTCCGCAGATCTGCAGTATTTAGTGGGGTGTCTAAGCACCAACAATTTCAACATTACTGGGGAGTAGGGACCACTTTATGGACCTCTCGGCAATGGCCTACGATATAAAGAAGACAGGAGTTCATGGCAGTCGAAGTAGGCCATGTTACTGGGAAAGGGCCTCTGCCCGTGAACGGGCAGGACTTGTGTATCCATTTTGAGAATTGGAAGGTCCTGAAGGGCTAATTGCTCCAAATTATCACTGCAAGACAGAAAATCACTACAATGGTACATAGAAAAACCACCGTACAACTGCCAGAATTGAGAGTAGCGTGCTTCTGAACTGATTGGAATGTTATTAATGGAAGTTAGATGGGAAAGATCATGAGCTTGTTCTGCATTCTGAACTGTAACGATGCGCACACTGCTTACAAGATGTGAAAGGATATATTTTGGCCAACGTGTCGTAAAAGAGCTTTACCAATACCAGTCTGAAAGATAATCAGTTGGAGACATTTGTTGTAGGGAAAAGAATATAGTCCACTGCGTACTTGTAAACATGGTGGGTAAAGGAAGTGGGTGTTGCGTAGGTCGTTTTTGGGTAGAATGAGCAGTCATCCAAGAACCATTAGCAAATGGTCTGGCATGTTTCGGCAAAGTTCTGTGGGCAGCCTGACCTGAGGTAGGTGGGCAATCCAAAAACCGTCGTACGGTATTCAGGGAAGCGGACACGTAGTTAAAAACATGCAAGAAGCAGAGGCACTAGAAGAAATGAGTGGAGCCTCAGCACCTGGAGCAGGTGATGATGCATCACCAGCAGAAGGTACAGGGGTATGGGAAAAATCTGGAGAATGGTCCAATAACGAAGTCAGGTCAGAACATGATGCGGTAACAAAAAGGGGTCTGGGAGGAGGAGGGTTATCACGGAACGAAGACTCCATGATGATGGTACTTTCTTATTATTATTTTAAAGAAAAACAGAAGAAAATAAAAGAGGGACAGTCACTAGAAGGCATGAAAGGGCCATAAGTTCCCCCTCTCATCCAAAAGGACCTCAAGACTGCAAGCAGTGCAGATGCAGCGTAAAACCCATGTCATACCCTACCCTTCACACCAGTAAACCAGCGCTCCAGGATAGCAACCTCACATCTACCGAACCACCTCAGTGGACAAGAGAGAGGGAGGTTGGAAACCCACCACAAAGTATACCTCCTTGGCTGCCACCTCCCAGAACTGACAGGCAGCCTCTGGAGATACAACCATCACTTGCAGGACACCTTGCCAACCTCTCAGAAATCCAGGAAGAGAGCAAGGCACCTCCATACAATATTCCATGGCAAACTACACCACACCCAAGGAACCTCACAGACTGGGATGAACCCCATTGCACTTTCCCCTACCTAGAAACTTATGCCAGAGGGGAGGATTCCAAAGGTTACAAATGGGAAGGGAAAAAGGGAGGGTTGGGAGGGGGGAGGAGAGGGAAGAAAGGGAGAAAAGGGGGGAATGGGGAGGATGGGATAGGGAAGGGAGGATTGGGGGGTAATTAGGTTCTGTCTGAGGAAGGAGACCAAAGGGTCTAATTCCTTAGACCAAGAGCCTCTTTGCCACATCAAGGAGTCCTCCCTTGAAGAGGACAAGCCACAGCTTTCCTATCCTTTGAACTCAAGTTACTACAAGATTGTAAAAGGAACATTATGACAAAGTAAACACCGATAATGGGACAATCATGCCCAAGCTCCCAGGACTACGATTAGCAACTAATTAAGTCCCCCTCACCTTTTCTCTTTCTCATTATTACTCTTTAACCCTTAAACTGTCCAAACGTAGACCTACGTTTTTTTCAACATTTGAAAGTATGTAAAAAAAGTAGATCTTTTCTTTTTTTACATTTAAAAATGTGTAAAAAAAAAAACTTTGATCTACGTTTTTTTTCTTTTTGTTAAATTTGAAAATATGTAAAAAAAAAAAAAAGTAGATCTACTTTTGGAGCGCTACGCATGTGAACATATCTGCTTGGACAGTTTAAGGGTTAAACCTTATTCTTCCTCAAAACATGTTGATAATCATAAGGGAGCATTTCATTAGCATCATTTTATTTGAAAGATGCAGCATATATTACAATGATAATTCCTAGTTTATAAGCCAATGGTGCCTATCAGATACTTGTATAAAATTTGGGATTAAGAAAAAAAAAATTGAGTACCATTCCTTGGAATATTTCCAATTTAACAATAAGAGGGTTTTGCTGGAATACATCTCCCAGTAGAGAATTTTGGTATATATAAATAAAGGCAACTTCAGGTATATATTAAGGCAATATGAGTTAGTTGTTGCCCTACAACAAAAATAATTTGAATGCCTACCGTCCAACTCACCCTCGGAGTCATTTCCCTCGCCTGTGGAATTATCACGCCTTCTTTTGCGTGTGAAACGGCCACCACGCTGGAATTTTGGTGGTGGAATAGGGTCCATTCCAAGCACCTTGTGTATTTGACGGAAAGCTATTAACCGTAGAGCATGCTGGAAATAAAAACATTACAAGTGTTACCAAAAGAAAAGTCATGTTTCCTATCTGTTTATGAATCCTTTCTCTGAAATTTATTCAGAGAAATGATTCATAGTACAGTACACAATCACAAGACAAACAGCAAAATATGACATTTCAGTAGTGTAATCCCTGGATTATTGCTGTCCACTAGCCCTTTCTTTAAGAATATGTACTAGTCTCCAGGAAAGGGCAAACATAGCCCACAATTAGGTATAAAGTCCAGTGATTTACTAGTAAACCAGTCTACCAACATTATTACAATGTTCTTTGTCTATTACAAAACACTAATTTAAACATAAAAACACCAATAATGTTGGTAGAATTACCGACAATTTGTAAAGTAAAAGGACCCAAGTGCAACTAATGTGACATTTTTATTGTGGCAACGTTTCGCTCTCCAGGAGCTTTGTCAAGCCGTTACTGCTTGACAAAGCAGTAACGGCTCCTGGAGAGCAAAACGTTGCCACAATAAAATTGTCACATTAGTTCCACTTGTGTCCTTTTACTTTACATAAAAACACCATTACCTCTACACAGTGAAGTTAATGAGAAGAATCAAATTGGATGAGGATCAGGCAGGACTACAAAGAGACCTGGACAGGCTACAAGCCTGGTCCAGTAACTGGCTCCTTGAGTTTAACCCTGCCAAATGCAAAGTCATGAAGATTGGGGAAGGGCAAAGAAGACCGCAGACACAATATAGTTTAGATGGCCAAAGACTGCAAACTTCACTCAAGGAAAAAGATCTGGGGGTGAGTATAACACCGAGCATATCTCCTGAGGCGCACATCAATCAGATAACTGCTGCAGCATACGGGCGCCTGGCAAACCTACGGATAGCGTTCCGATACCTCAGCAAGGATTCGTTCAAGACTCTGTATACCATTTACGTCAGGCCCATACTGGAGTATGCAGCACCAGTTTGGAATCCACACCTAGTCAAAGCACATCAAGAAATTAGAGAAGGTGCAAAGGTTTGCAACAAGACTAGTCCCAGAGCTACGGGGATTGTCCTACGAAGAAAGGTTGAGGGAAATCGGCCTGACGACAGTGGAGGACAGGAGGGTCAGGGGAGACATGATAACGACATATAAAATACTGCGCGGAATAGACAAGGTGGACAAAGACGGGATGTTCCAGAGATGGGACACAGACACAAGAGGTCACAATTGGAAGTTGAAGACTCAGATGAATCAAAGGGATGTTAGAAAGTATTTCTTCAGTCAGAGTGGTCAGGCCGTGGAATGGCCTAGAAAGTGAAGTAGTGAGGCGGGAACCATACATAGTTTTAAGGCGAGGTATGATAAAGCTCATGGGGCAGGAAGAGAGAGGACCTAGTAGCAATCAGTGAAGAGGCGGGGCCAGGAGCTATGAATCGACCCCTGCAACCACAAATAGGCGAGTACAGGTAGTGTTATTTCTTCATTAGCCTGTTACTAGCGTTATAACCTGGGCGGGATCGGGATTACAAAAATAAACACAAATTTATAATCTTTACTTACAGAAATATTTTGCATAAAAATATATCAAGGAGTCTAACTCCTATGCTTATCTTTGGTATAGCTACTTTATACAAAGTCATACACAATATACAAAGTCACAAACAATCAATATCAAAGTAAATCATCATAACCATAAGTGGTCCAGTGTCATATGTCACTGCCATCTTCAGGTGTCTTATGACACCACCAATCCCAGCGTTACGACACTCCATCGTGTCCTATGACACCACCTTATCTCCGCCTTATAACACCCTTCTCTTATGTGTCACACGACACCCTTCACTCTGTGTTATAACACTCCTTCACCGTGGTACACCCGTGACACTGCCTTGTCCCCATGTTTTAACACGGTCTCCTTACGTCCTTTTCACCGCATCATTTGACTAACCCAACGGGTTACAACACGGACTTTTTTTTCTAAGAATACTGGTGTGTGTGTGTGTGTCACCTGTCACCTGACACACACACCAGGTTATCCAACCCTGACTTTCTGTGTCACCTGATATGTAACGCTCACCGGGTTACACACAGTCTGGCTTCCCAGGTGTCCGTCCTCTGACACAAGAGACCCACAGGTCCCTGAGGTCTGCTACAGAAGCCTAAGTCAGCAGGAGTCCACTCCATGAGGCAGTCTGGTGAATACTCAAAGGCCCATCACCAGCAGGTGTATTCCATGAGAATCTGGTGAACACTGTCAATCAGGCCAGCTCAGCAGTCCCCACATTGGGTTTGATGATGTACGCAGTGGTACTGCTGGCCGGCAGGTTAACCACTTAACCACCAATTTGGTAGGCCGCAACATCTCCACAGATGCTTCGATGCACCACCCACTTTTTTACCTTCACCTATTTCATGGTTCACCATGTCTTTCATATATCCATCCACCGACAAAGTCTACTATAAAGTATCTGAACACATTCACTTCCTCCATACTCCCGCCTTACAATCGGATAACCAAACTTTCATTACCTATCTCATTTGTTGCCCTCATCATCTTGCTCTTCCCTATGCTCACTTTTAATTTCCTTCATTTACATTTTTTTCTAAACACATCAGCCATTTCCCACTGAGGCAGGATGAAGACACACTTTCATCACCATTCAATGTCTTGTCAGAGGCATGCCACTACTAACAGTTAAAAAACTGCAACATATCTCTCCACCCTTCCTTCAGAGTACAGGCACCATATTTCCCACCTCCAGGGCTCAAGTCCCAAATTCGACAAAAACTAACTGTAACAACTCCCATTTTGTATTAGATTCTACACATTTTAATCCCACACCTCACCTGAGCTGATGCAGTAATATCTTCACGTTCTTGGGCAGAGAGTGGAGAAGCTGCATCTATTGGGTCCTTTTCGCAAGGGTCAAGCAGACCAGGCGAACCAGGAAGTAGCAGCCCAGATGCAAGTGCCTCAAATACCCGACGAAGAGCATCACCTGGACTTAGGTGTTGCCCAGCTGACGCAATCACTTTTTCACACATCAGTTCCATTGCCTGTGATTACATCGGGATAAATATACGTTAATCAGGATTATGTACTCCTTAAGGTTTATAACTGAAAGGTAGAATACATTTTGGTGTATGGATTACAGTACCATATTAAAAGTAAGTGCATTAAAATTAGCCAGTTTTATTTCATATTTTTTTTCCCCTATTTACTGTTTCCCACCAAGGCAGAAATATAAAACTAATCACCATTTCAATGTAGTGGCCCTTTTATTAAGACAAACATGTTTTCCAAAGCAACTCATAGTGAATTCAAAACAAGTACTGTGCCTTTTAAATTTTGGTACAGGCTTTGGGGTCTAGTTCTATTTAGATTCTATTAAAATATTGCAAATACAATATAAAAAATAAATACACACTAATATCATAGCCCAGAACAGCATTCAGGAATTTGAATAAAGACTCCTTCAGAATTCATTATACACCTACCATCCGACTTACGACCGAGTTCGGTTCCGAGAAACTGGTCGTAAGTCGAACTTTACTGCTGAATATCAACAAAACATTTTTGTAATGACTATTTTATTGTTTTATTTTGGTATTTCATGTTTTAGTTTACTTTTTATGTTGTTAGTACTGTATTTTATACTGTAAGGTTTAGGATAAACACTGTGTACAACACAAATAGTTGTTTATTCCCCAGAAATTTGGCATAAAAAACACAGTCGTAAGTCGAGTGGTCGTAAGTCGAGCAGGTCCTAAGTCAGCTGGTAGGTGTATTATGTTAGGACAGTCCACTGAGGACCCTTCCCCAGCATGGAGCCCATGCCTGGTCAAGGTAAAGACAGACGAGTCACAGGGATGAAAGAAAATATTTAATTTTTTTGTTTTTGTATATCAGTGGTTGAAAAGTGGAATGACTTGTATGAAAAACTGAGGGTCACACTCAATACACAACTTCAAGAGTAAACATTTTAAGGCCCAAAGAGGCCAAAAATCAGTTATGCCAACCAAAGTCTAGCAGACAGGGCCAGGAGTAGCCTCACTCCCCCCCTTCCCAACAGAAATTGACTATATACTATGGGCTCCTCAATTACAATTCTTTCTATTCCATACAAATTTGTATAAAATATAATGTGGATTATTATTTTTGTTGTAAGAAGAGAATCTGCATATTTTATTTAGTGGTGACTCACCTGGCCACACAGCTATACTTACCCAACTATTCAATGGTCCCCACGTAGGTACACGTTGACACAAGTCCCGGAGAATTCTTATCACCATCACACAGCTCTGAAGCCCATTGGCTCTAGCCTGAGGAACATCATGTTCGTAAGAAATTTTTTTTTACCAAACAGTGCTGGTTGGTCCAAGATGGGCATTAATTACTTGATGCACATTAATAAACAACCAGATAGACCAAAAAAGAAAAGTGAAATGCATAAAGACAATCAAGAATATATATAAGTGGAAATTTTCTATGTCAAGCAAAGCAATTATTCATGAACCTATATATGTGCAACTCAAATACACGTCTCTAAGGTAGATATTGCCCATCTTGTACTAAAAAGTGCATAGAGATGAAATAGAGCAAACATTGTATACTTCTTTCGCTCCATGCACCCACTACAGCCAGCACAAAACAAGACTTAAAAGTTATGTTGAACCAGGTTCTTGTATGAACTCTGCTTGGAAACTCCACAAAATAAAGGCTCCACTGCTGTTATACTGATAGCAAACTACTAAGGCGCAAGACACACCATTACTGGAACAAAGTACAGCCCCTTTCCATAACGAAGCAGAGTCCTCCTGTACTTTCCAGCCTCATGCTTTTTCTTGTAGGCTAAGCCCACAATGAGACACCTCCATGAATGGGTGAGGGGGCACTGCTGTGAGGTAGCTGCAAAGGGTATATGGGGTATAGGGGTAACTTTGGGGGAGAGGATTTGTACTACCTTGCCTCACAAATAGATGAGGTGAAAGGCAGTAAACAAAACCATCACTACCTCACTGCACACCAACCACAATCAGGGAGTAGTTAGGGGGACAATCAGTACTTCCTTTCCTAGCTAAAAACTGACCATGACATTGAAAGGGGGGGAAAAAATAAAAGAAAATCCACCATGATATGAATGAAACAGGCTCTTTCCATCACTGTCCAAGCCCTATGAACTGGCAGCTGTCAAAGCTAAGTACACTCTGAAAATCAGCATGAAAATGACCAACTCAGCAAGTTGAGAATTTAAATAATCATTTTTAAAGTTGGCATAATTATTGCCAAATAAATAAAGTTCTTATAGCAGACAACCTTGCTAAACCTTCATCCATGCTGATTTCCAAAATGTGCAATAAAAACATTCAGATGGCAGTTAATCAAGGTTGCACAGTAAAGGGAAAAACCTGACATGACCTAAGACTAGCCTATTTTCTGACCCAGCCCACCCACACATCTCCATAAGGCTGAAAAGTTTGAGGGAGGCCAGGCTAACCTGTTCCCTCTCATCTATTCCAAACAAGAGGAAGGAACAGCCTAACCTGGTTTAACCCTCAGATGAACGGGTTGCAAACCTGGAACCACTTGGCATGTCTGAGGGCGGCAAGAGCGTCCAGACATTTCTGCTTGTCGAGCACATCTGGAGGATCCTTGGCGGCGATCACCTGGGAGTCTAAAATACAACAACACAGCGTCCGTCACACACCCGCGCCACACCCACCCACCCGCCATCGTCCTCTCACCACCCACCACCACTGCCTGCACATGTAAACTTCACAGCAGCCTAACACCATTATAGTGTAGGCACAGGGTAAACAGTAAGCCAGGCAGTCTATAACTGAATGATGCTTTATTTACTTTATAAGCAATTAAAATATTTCAAAGATATAAATAAAATTCCATGGAAATAGTACCAGGTCAAGAAATTTAATTATATAATGGCTAATGCCAAAAAAATTAAAAATGAAGAACAAGACAGCTAAGACTGCACTAGGTCTGTGTTCCCAGGGATGGTGGAGATTGGGTCAGGTGTGGCCAATGGGCAACTCTTCCCCTCTGCAGTACAAGAGAGCCACAATGTTCATGCCTGGTCTCAAGGCACAGACTTAACTGAAAAAGTATAGTAGAGTTTAGACTGAGATCAAAGCTGACTGCAAAGAACGCAATTCTCTTGTCCAGTGTCTCTTTATATGGCCCTTTTTTCATTCCATTAATAATGACCATCAAGACAGAGAGGGGAAAGTTATAACTTAGTGAACCAGGGCCAGCAATGCTTAATTTAAAAAAAAAAAAAAACTTTGGTCACAAAGCAGGGCCTACTAACAAATATTGTGTCCATAATGATTCTTTCACTGTGTCCCCTGGTCTCAATGTTAAGCAGTATAGGAGGCCAGTCTTAGTAGCATTTTCATCACAATTACTCAAGACTATAAATTACATATTGATCGTTAGAAAATTACAGCATTCTGTGATGAAAATCTCGACTTCCCCTAGTTAGAAAAGTCTTTCAATGGATACTGAGAAATATTCTGTCAGGATAAATGGGAGTAAGGGGGAAAAAAGTATATAAAAAAAAATTGATAGAGAGAGAACCATACTGAAAAATCAGTTTAAATTAAAGAAAAGATTGGAGAAAATTACAGAATAATTCACTCAATCCATATAAAAGGCTTCCTGTTTTTTAACCTGTCACTGTAGACCATCAGGCTTGTGATTTAGCCTGTTTGTGTTACCTCCATCATGAAGCAGCTGTTCCCTCATGATTGGAGAAGTGAGGGTTACATTCACAGAGATACGTTGTTCACCTATGTTCTGCACAACTAGTGCAGCCTCTTCAACAACTCTCTGTATATCATACTTGTCTTCCATTGCCACAACCTAAAGAAAAACGAGACACCACATTATAATATTGTACATTATAAATATTTTTATCTATGGCATGACAAATTTAAATGTTTTAATGTATTTCCATGGTTAATGGAAAGGGAAAAAAAAGAGGAAATAGGGAAAAGAAAGGGTTAAGAAATGCATTTCAGTAAAGAACAAAAAAATTTTTTTTAACATGTCAGCCATTTCCCACCAAGGCAGGGTGTCCCCCACCCCCCAAAAAAAAAAACTTTCATCATTCAACACTTTCACCATTACTCACACATAATGACTGTCTTTGCAGAGGCGCTCAGACATGACAGCTTCCTTTAAAGTGCAGGCACTATTTCACATTTCCAAGATTAAAGTCCGACTAACCAGTTTCCCTGAATCCCTTCACAAAATATTACCCTGGTCACACTCCAACAACTCATTAGGTCCCAAAAGCCATTTGTCTCCATTCACTCCTATTTAATGCACGCTTACTAGAAGTCAAAGCCCTTTGCCCACAAAACCTCCTTTGCCCCTCCAACCTTTTCAGGGATGACCCTTACCTCGCCTTCCTTCTATAGACTTGTACACACTCCAAGTCATTCTATGTTGTTCCATTCTCTCTAAATGACCAAACCACTTCAACAACCCCTCTTCAGCCCTATGACTAATATTTTTACTAACTCCACACCTCCTCCTAATTTCCACACTGAATTCTCAGTATAATATTTACACCACACACTGCCCTCAGACACGACACCTCCACTGCTTCCAGCCACCTCCTCAGTGCAGCATTTACAACCCATGCTTCACACCCATATAAGAATGTTGGTACCACTATACTATCATACATTCCCTTCTTTGCCTCCATGGATCAAGTTCTTTGTCTCCACAGATACCTTAATGCACCACTCACCTTTTTTCCTCCATCAATTCTATGGTTAACTTAATCCTCCATAAACCCATCCGCTGACAAGTCAACTCTCAAATATTTATCGTAATAATCATAAATTGTATATCTTTCAACACACCGGCCGTATCCCACCAAGGCAGGGTGGCCCAAAAAGTAAAACACAAGTTTCCCTTTTAAATTTAGTAATTTATACGGGAGAAGGGGTTACTAGCCTCTTGCTCCCGGCATTTCAGTCGCCTCTTACAACATGCACGTCTTACAGAGGAAGAATTCTGTTCCACTTCCCCAAGGAAATAAGAGGAAATAAACAGAAACAAGAACTAGAAAGAAAATAGAAGAATACCCAGAGGGGTGTGTATATATGCTTCTACATGCATGTGTAGTGTGACCTAAGTGCAAGTAGAAATAGCAAGACATACCTGAAATCTTGCATGTTTATGAGACAGACAAAAGACACCAGCAATCCTACCATCATGTAAAACAATTACAGGTTTTCATTGTACACTCACTTGGCAGGACGGTAGTACCTCCCTGTGCGGTTGCTGTTTACCAACCTACTACCTAGGAAATTATATATAATACATATATCTATACATATATATATATATATCTACATATATATCTACATATATATCTACATATATATCTACATATATATCTACATATATATATATACATATATATATACATATATATATACATATATATATACATATATATATACATATATATATACATATATATATACATATATATATACATATATATATACATATATATATCATATATACATATATTAATATATATATATATATATATATATATATATACATATTTTTTTTTTTTTTTTTCAATAAGTCGGCCGTTTCCCGCCGAGGCAGGGTGACCCAAAAAAAAGAAAGAAAATCCCCAAAAAGAAAATACTTTCATCATCATTCAACACTTTCACCACACTCGCACATTATCACTGTTTTTGCAGAGGTGCTCAGAATACAACAGTCCAGAAGCATACACATATAAAGACACACAACATATCCCTCCAAACTGCCAATATCCCAAACCCCTCCTTTAAAGTGCAGGCATTGTACTTCCCATTTCCAGGACTCAAGTCCGACTATATGAAAATAACCGGTTTCCCTGAATCCCTTCACTAAATATTACCCTGCTCACACTCCAACAGATCGTCAGGTCCCAAGTACCATTCGTCTCCATTCACTCCTATCTAACACGCTCACGCACGCTTGCTGGAAGTCCAAGCCCCTTGCCCACAAAACCTCCTTTACCCCCTCTCTCCAACCCTTTCGAGGACGACCCCTACCCCGCCTTCCTTCCCCTATAGATTTATATGCTTTCCATGTCATTCTACTTTGATCCATTCTCTCTAAATGACCAAACCACCTCAACAACCCCTCTTCTGCCCTCTGACTAATACTTTTATTAACTCCACACCTTCTCCTAATTTCCACACTCCGAATTTTCTGCATAATATTTACACCACACATTGCCCTTAAACAGGACATCTCCACTGCCTCCAACCGTCTCCTCGCTGCTGCATTTACCACCCAAGCTTCACACCCATATAAGAGTGTTGGTACTACTATACTTTCATACATTCCCTTCTTTGCCTCCATAGATAACGTTTTTTGACTCCACATATACCTCAACGCACCACTCACCTTTTTTCCCTCATCAATTCTATGATTAACCTCATCCTTCATAAATCCATCCGCCGACACGTCAACTCCCAAGTATCTGAAAACATTCACTTCTTCCATACTCCTCCTCCCCAATTTGATATCCAATTTTTCTTTATCTAAATCATTTGACACCCTCATCACCTTACTCTTTTCTATGTTCACTTTCAACTTTCTACCTTTACACACATTCCCAAACTCATCCACTAACCTTTGCAATTTTTCTTTAGAATCTCCCATAAGCACAGTATCATCAGCAAAAAGTAACTGTGTCAATTCCCATTTTGAATTTGATTCCCCATAATTTAATCCCACCCCTCTCCCAAACACCCTAGCATTTACTTCCTTTACAACCCCATCTTTAAATATATTAAACAACCATGGTGACATTACACATCCCTGTCTAAGACCTACTTTTTACCGGGAAGTAGTCTCCCTCTCTTCTACACACCCTAACCTGAGCCTCACTATCCTCATAAAAACTCTTTACAGCATTTAATAACTTACCACCTATTCCATATACTTGCAACATCTGCCACATTGCTCCTCTATCCACTCTATCATATGCCTTTTCTAAATCCATAAATGCAATAAAAACTTCCCTATCTTTATCTAAATACTGTTCACATATATGCTTCAATGTAAACACCTGATCTACACATCCCCTACCCACTCTAAAACCTCCTTGCTCATCCGCAATCCTACATTCTGTCTTACCTCTAATTCTTTCAATTATAACCCTACCGTACACTTTTCCTGGTATACTCAGTAAGCTTATTCGTCTATAATTTTTACAGTCTCTTTTGTCCCCTTTCCCTTTACACATATATATATATACATACATATATATATACATACATATATACATACATATATACATACATATATACATACATATATACAGTGGACCCCCGCATAACGATGGCATCGCATAGCGATTTTTCCGCATAACGATTACTTTTATCGCAAAATTTTTGCCGCGCATACCGATTAAAAACCCGCATACCGATTTTCGTCCGAGACGCGTCCAATGTGCCCTCAGCCAGCCTCACATGTGCCGCTCCGTCCCATTGTTTACCAGCCAGCCTCCGCGGTAACATCCAAGCATACACTCGGAATATTTCGTATTATTACAGTATTTTCGGTGCTGTTTCTGGAAAATAAGTGACCATGGGCCCCAAGAAAGCTTCTAGTGCCAACCCTGTGGTAAAAAGGGTGAGAATTAGTATGGAAATTAAGAAAGATTTTGAAGGGTTTGGGGCTAACCCTGAGAAGCCTATGCCAGTTGTGGAATCCATTGTGCCTACTTCAAAGATTAAGGAAATGTGTGCAGAGTGGGTTGAACTGCAAACCTTTATAGATGAAAATCACCCTGACACAGCTGTTGCAAGCCGTGCTTGTGACTATTTCAATGACAATGTTATGGCCCATTTTAGGAAAGTCTTGAAGGAACGGGAGGTACAGAGCTCTATGGACAGATTTGTTGTGCGACAGAGGTCCAGTGACTCTCAAGCTGGTCCTAGTGGCATTAAAAGAAGAAGGGAAGTAACCCCAGAAAAGGACTTGCTACCTCAAGTCCAAATGGAAGGGGATTCCCCTTCTAAACAGTAAGAAGATAATGCTCTCCCCTCCTCCCATCCCATCAATCATCACCAGATCTTCAATAAAAGTAAGTGTCATGTAATTGTGCATGCCTTTTTCAGTTTGTGTGTATTAAAATTAACATTTCATGTGGTAAAAAAAAATTTTTTTCATACTTTTGGGCGTCTTGCACGGATTAATTTTATTTCCATTATTTCTTATGGGGAAAATTCATTCGCATAACGATTATTTCGCATAACGATGAGCCCTCTTGCACGGATTAAAATCGTTAACCGGGGGTCCACTGTACATACATATATACATACATACATATATACATATATATACATACATATATACATATATACATACATATATACATACATATATACATATATACATACATATATACATACATATATACATATATACATACATATATACATACATATATACATACATATATACATACATATATACATATATATATACATACATATATACATACATATATACATACATATATACATACATATATATACATACATATATACATACATATATACATACATACATATATACATACATATATACATACATATATACATACATATATACATACATACATATATACATAATATACTACATACATATATACATACATATATACATACATACATATATACATACATATATACATACATATATACATACATATATACATACATATATATATACATATATACATACATATATACATACATATATACATACATATATACATACATATATACATACATATATACATACATATATACATACATACATATATA